GCCTATCATGGTGTGGTAATATTTTATTTAGTGATTGCAGAAAACTACACCTTAAAAAATGTTTATGGTTTAATTACATATTCCTTTTGCTTTTTGTAACCTAATAAAATCCTCAAATTATTTTATGTATTTGAACCCTCAATAGACCAAAATTCTGTATGTGGACAAAATACAGGTTTCAAGCCTTACTACAGCTATTCCCAAACTAGTTTTACCTCTTTACCTGAATAAATTGAGTTCTGGCTCCACAATCACTTTCCATTCCCAGAATTCTACAGGGATTGAAATTAACCCAATTCTTGATTACTTCCTTACTCTCCCAGTGGCGTAAGTTATAATGTATGCATAGCTATGAGAACACTATTAGCTGACTACACAATGATTCAGACCTATCCTTTTTTTCTTCCTTGAAGTTTTTTTCAAACCAAAAGTATAAATTTGTGAGTTATTTAAATCATAAACCTTTTAAAAAATATTAACTTTTTAAAATGTTTTACCATTTAATGGTAAATGAATATAGACTCTGTATTTTCCAAACCATAAGGGGGCACTATTCCCAAGGCCATTCTAAAGATTTTACTGAAATGTTCTTCCTATAACGTATTTCTCAAAACCAGTTTTGCACTTTCTTCTTGCACATTTCAGTAAGTAAACAAATATCCAAATAGTGTAACTACTGTATACAAACAACTAAGAGTGAGATACGTTTGAACTCAATATTCAGTTACCAAATGTCTTAGAAATAATCACATAATTCTAGGTAAGTCAAGATGTTTGGGAAGGAAAAATCCCCATATACGTACTAGCAAATATTTCAATAGTTTGAAGTACCATCCTGCATCTCTAGACTCTTAACTCCCCAAAATACTTCAAGTCCATTCTCTCATTTGATCAGATATCTTAGTCAACAGTTTATTCTCAAATCAGGTATGTGTTTATTGAAGGTTAAAACATTTTTCCAGAAAATTCCACATATTCTAAAATAAAATGTGGTGTTATCAAAAATGTATTCAATTTTTTTAAAAAAAAATTATTTTCACTGAGTGCTTTTGACATGCCAAGCACTAAACTACGTTGTGGGAAAACAGAAAAAAGAGTCTCTAAAATCATGAAGATAATTATTAATTTTTGAACATTATACAAAAATATCCATACTGGTCCCTCATATGAGCACAAATACTTTATCTGATTCTGACCTATCCTCACCTGATCAAAATTTATGCTAATAATAAAATACCAACTATACTACTGATATAACAAATTATCATCAAATCTACCACAATTATTACTGGAACACATTTTATCCCAACACTACCCTTTGTAGTTGCCCACTGTCTCTAATATATGTCCTTGCTGCCTCAAAAAAGAAGTGTATTTACTTCTTAAACAAAAGTATATTAGTTTAGAAGAGGGAGAACTTTTTTGTACCATTATTCCAATGACCTCTGCAGAAATGAACTTAAAGGAAAATGCAAAACTAAAAATAGAGAAATGTTTAATAAGCTTTAAGAGAAATATTTTTAAGTTGATATCTTTAGGTCTTCTATAATTTGTATCACAGAGAATCTATAGGGTTGTTTTTCACGAAGCAGAGTAAAAACTGTATTATTTTTCTTACCTAATAATCAAGTCTAAATGTTAGAAGTCTAAATTTTAATTTAAAAATATACATATTTATAAGGACATACACCACCTTTAACTTAGTAAAGATTGTCAGATACATGCTGTAACAGCAAACAATCACCAATAATTATCAAATTGACAAATGGGTTTTTCTAAAGCTTGAAAATAATCTTAAGTAAAGATCACCCTTCAAATTTTATTTACAAATGATCAATTTGCTTAACAACCTTTTCCTATAGACAGAAATGTAAGAATCAACAAAATCAGAATTAGATCTAATAAATAATACCCACTGAGGATTTGGAGAAAAATCAGGAATATGATATTCTTGTATATATTTGTGCATTATAAAATACAATAATCATTTTTCTAACAAAAAGTACAAAACATTGAAATGATACGAAGAGAAAGAGTTTATAACACCATTTTGCAAAGCAATCCAGGCATATATACTGAAAATCAAGTATATTTCTTGCAGTGGTAACCTAGGAAAGTTCAAAATATATCTTTATGCAAAGAATGCAGTCAGTTTTTCACTTGGAAAACCCACTTAGAACACTGACCTTACACCACTTGTTTCTCCCCTCTAAATATAGCTAGTATCTATGCAAATTAAATATAGCTATTAGCTATGCAAATAGTCTGGTGATCATAACTAATATAGTTTTCATCCTTAGAAATAATTTAACAGTTGCTACATTTCAAACAATTGCCTAGTGAGTTTCAAGGAATTTTTAAATCCAAAAACAATACTTTGACTACATAAACATATAAAATTACATTAGTATTCACACTAAACAGAGTCCTTTATATGAGATTAATATATTTCATATATTCTTTTATTGGGGAAAAAAAAAAGCCTGTCAACTTTTTAAAATGACCTTCTTCTGGGTCTAATTTGGTTTGTTTGGCAAGTTAAATACCTCAGTCTATATACAAGTTAATACAGAATTTAAGAACCATTTTACAGAGCTAAGTTTTTTTGTTTTTTTTTTTAATTAATGTTTCTCAAAATTCAGTTTCTGCTACTAAATTAGCTTTAGGGGAAAAAGTTAAATTACTAGACTTCAAGTCAGAAGACCTGCATTCAACTCCTCAACTCTTGATTCTACCACCCACCAGGTATCTGAGAAACCTTGTTCAACAGACCTAAAAAAAAAAAAAAAAAAAAAAACACCTCACAGTTTTGAGGAGTAAATTTTTAAAATGTGAGGCAGCAGGCATAACAAAACCACCACTCAAGTTTGTATTACACACAAACTCCCCCAAAATCTCCTTTCTTAAGGTTTGTTTGCTGGAAACTCCCCTTAAACTGCATAAAATCCATGTACAATTGGAAACAATACCAAAATACACCAGTAGCAAATACTGCAAAAAAAATACATAAATAAGATAAAATAAATAACAGCAAAAAAATGGGGGGAAGAAATCTCACATCTCCAAATAAAAACTGAATTCAAATTTTTAAGTTCTGAGACAATAAGGGCCACATCCAAATGATGGTTTCAATTTTAAACAAACCCTAGCACATTCTGTTTCACTGAAGTTAATTCATCATCTTTTTTTAAACCTTCATCATGGTTCTCAGATATTTTTCTCACAAACACAGGGCAGGAATATTAGGCAAAGTAGTTTATCCCAAAAATGTTTATGCCAGAGCAACCAAGACTGGAGCAAGGATATCTAGCAAATAATGTGGCCACCTATGGACTGTCAAGGTAGAGCCCCTAAATAGGTTGGGGCAAGACATCATAAATGTCAAAAGGAGCATTCCACATTTTGAGAATAAAGATAATCCCTGAGCAGACGCATCAGTATGGGACCAGTTCAGCTGCAAGCAAGTCCAGCAGTGTAAGAATGAGCTTGAATTCAATCCTGCTTCCAAATGTTAAAACTCTACCTGAAAAATATAAACTTATCTAATAGCCATAGGCAAGGAATTTTGAAGGTGTGCTGACCCTCTGGAAGCAGTAGGTAGCAAACTACCCTGACTTAGAAGTTTAAAATTATCTCCATGGGGCTTCAGAAGCAAATCACTTTCTTGGAACTACACTGCAACTAAATTTACCTCAAAACCTTACCGTGTAGGAGTGCCCAACCCGCAGCCCAGGAGGTCTATGAATGTGGCCCAACACAAAGTTATAAATTTACTCAAAACCTTTTTTTGGCTCATCAGTTCTCGATAGTGTTTGTGTATTTAGTGTGTGGCCCAAGACAACTCTTCTTCCATTGTGGCCCAGAGACACCAAAAGGATGGACACCCCTGTAGCTTAAAGGCACCATAATAAAGCATGAGAAACCAAATCTTAGATCCTAGCCCAAGTTCTCATGTTGTTGTGGAAAAAAAAAAAAAAATGCTTCATTCATTTCTTTTGTGAATTAGAAAGGGTAGAAATTATTTCAAGGAATAAAAACTCAGTGGAAAAAGTAAATTCTTAAAATGAAACATGACCAACCTTTTACTGTACAAATCCAATTACACATGTAAACCACCCAAGAACAATGTTTGCCACATTTTAAATACTTAGTGTTAGCTATTACACTGATTTTAATCAAGTAGAAAGGTATTTTTAAAAATCATACCAACAAACTGAATATTTAATAACCCAAATCTTATCTATTACCCAGGCATTCAAACCCTTAGAATAAACATATTAGTTTAGCCTACCAGGTAATGCAATGGGAAAAGTAAGATCTCTTTGCTAATAGATTTTTATGTTAACATTTAGTCTAAATTAGTCTTTTATTTATTCTAGCCATCATAACTTTTAATTATTCCTTTCTTCAAAAAAATTTTTTTTAGTTACTGGAATCACAAATCTTTCACTTCCATTTGTTTCCAAGTATTGATCAAGCCTAAGTATCCAAGTTTATAAGCAATATCAGATATCCTAGATGTACATTTAAAAAACACTGTTTAGAGCTCATTTCCAGAACTGTTTTGACTAGCTATTACATCATTTGCAAATGGAGAATGACACCAAAGTGTAAATCATTTTGAATCCTAGGGAAACAACAGATTTAGTCATCAAAAAGCAGGGTATGTGAAAAACAGAGAAGACATCACTGGAGAAAGAAGCCCCAAATCCTCCACTCCCTGGCTATATAATCTCAGGAAAGCAACTTTATCCCTGCGCCTTGGTCTCTTAATCTGTAAAATGGTAATAATCTTATTCTTTTCAGCAGGCTGTTTAGAAGCTCAAATGAGCACATACACAGAAAAGTACTTTATAGCCTAAAATGTGATATAAACATATTACATACATGTTTTGTTGTTGCATGAGCAGTTAACAGTTATTTAACATACGTTATAGTCTAAATTTTTGATCTCAAAGTAAACCATTACTATTACTCAAAATTGTTTTTTAAAAACTTGCCTTAGATTGAGTTCTCTTTCCATTTCTCATGCTAAACTTCTCCTTCATTTCTTCTAAAACTATCTTCAGTTTCTTTTCTTCAGGTGTCCCTAAGTATTTTTGGTTCACATGAAGATAGCAAGGCCATTTGGCTGATTCAAATCCCCAGTGGCAAGTCCTTTTGTCAGGTGACCTGTGAGAATGCATCACAAATGTCTGGGGCGCAAACATTCCACAGCATTCCAGACACTGAATGCACGGAGCATCAGGCTGAACATAAAACTGGGGTGCAAACAGACCCTGACATTTGCCCAAGCATTCATGTTCCACTTCAAAGGCACTGCCTGTTTCCTTTAACTGAGCCAATGAGTTTTTAGAAGGAAGTATGCTACCATTTTGAGGAAAAGTACGGGGCCGCAACAAAGCATTACATAGTCTCTGTGCATCAGTCAATGTGATCAGCCCACAGGATGGGGCATTGAATGGAAGTATTCCCAGGACCTTTAAGATATGAAGTTGGTCTGAAGTACATCTTGAACAATAGATGTACAATTCGTCACACACTGTATTTATTTGCTGCAGTGAAAATTCTCGGAGAACTGAATTTAAGACTTGGGGCAAACAGAGTCTCTTTTCTCCTCCCACCTGAAAACAAGAAATAGACTCCCCTTCCAACACAGTCTGAGTGAGTTCTGTGGAGCTATCAGAAGGGATGAGCAGTGGACCAGGAAGAACCTGAGGAGATGGAAGAGGCAGAAATACAGGTGACATGCTTTCTTGGGAATACCGAGCGGAAAATGCTGCTGGTCCACCCAGAGAGCTTTGACTACTTAAATGGAATTGTGCCAAAGTATGTTTCAAACTGGGATTTAAATGTAGAGGTTCGGGAACCGAGGTACAGGTTTGCTTGACATGCTCTCCATCAGTTTCCATTGGCGCTTCATAGTCATCCAAGTGTTCCTTCTTTACTGTTGGCATCTTGTTTATCAACATTTTTCCATTTGCATGAATGTCTGTCATCCTTTTTTTCACTGGAGGGCTGCCATCATCTCCCATCCCATTCATTTTTTTATTTGAGCCCTGAACCAAGGAGAAATTTGTCTGCAGGTTTTCCATGGATAAAAACTATTGTATTAAATAAGTGAGTCTGACACTTGCATTGTTATTTAGCTGCTTATTTGGAGAAGAGTAACATATACCAATATGTATGGTAACTTATGTATGGTAAGTTAGAGAAAATTTAAATTTCCAAAGAGAACTCTCCCTAAATTACTCAATAGATTTTGCAACTCTGTTTTGGTTCTACTTATATTCTAGGTAATTTCACTGTAAATGCTATAAAATTTGTCTCCAATAATAAAAGAATTTCAAGAGGCACACCTCTGAGGAAGCCTTCAGTTCTTTTAATTCTTCAGATACATGTATTAAAATAAAGTTATCAATTCTCTCAATTCAAGATTTCCAGGTTTGATGCAATGATTTGGTTTGAACAGAACAAATGAAAAGTTTATAAAAGTACTTGTGCATAAAACCTAGACACAGACACATCAAAATGATGCACCCAAATTTAATTTTTGGCACCAACACTCCAAAAAAGGAAAAAAGAAAGTATCTTCTCTAAAAATGATGCTCTGTTAGTGTGTGTTGACAAGCTGAAGGCTTGTATAAATTCTCACACCAATAAGAAGAGCCTCTGACTCCACTTCAACTTCTACAATTAAAGATGATTTAAAGAAAAATTGCCCAGTTATCTTCAAGGATTGCTGTTCATTCTTCTTTTAATTAATCTGGAAGAGAAGGGGGATGGGGGGAGAGTTACATTTGAATTTGCTCCAGAGGCCAAAGGGTCAGTTTGAAACCAGTTTCTTAATCTTAAACTGAGTTCACTTTACCAAAGGTGACACTTGAGTGATTTCTTTAACTGTAACACGTTACCTAGAAGAACCTTAATTTAAATAGGAAAGCAATCTGGAGAAGGGGTAAAGGCAGCAGTAATATCCCTCAAAAGGAAGAGGGCTACTCCAACTCAGAATAGGAAGAAACTCAAACAGAACATCTCACCCAAAACTCAGTACCAGAGGCTTCTCAGTTATGCCATTTTAAGTAAAATAACCCATTACTTCATCTCCTTATGTAAAAAAAAAAAAATCCAGTTTTGTCCAAAACAATTGGATAGTTTTAACGATTTAACGTATCTATCACATGTAAGGAAGTTACAACCTTAAGTGCATTAATTCACTTAGCCAGTGTATGCTATTTTTCTGGAATGACTGTAGGCAAAAACTTAACTTTCCTTTAATATGTTGGCTAATTTGCTTAATGGAAGTCAAAAAGCTATGGCCTCCAAGCCTGGGAATCTCTACCTTTCAACAAGACTAATCCGGGACAAAAAGCACAAGGCAGAGAGACCTCACAAAGAATGCAAATGGAGGAGGGAAAAAGAAAAGATTCTTCTTCCACTTCTTTTCTGAGAGATCCAAAAGAAATCCAATACACAGAAAAATTTCCCTCCCAAATTCCCAGCAATTTACCGTAAAACAGACCCAAAGGGTTAAGGACCAAGGCCACTAGCCAATGTACTGACTTTCGGCCACCACACGAACACCTCAGCCAACGAAAACCAAGAGAGAGAGCAGGAGGCATGACCTAGAATGGGGGAGTCCCCCAAACCCTGAAATCCTCTGCCCACGCAAAGCCACCCACCCATCTCAAACCCGACGAGGAGGAGTGGAGGACAAGAGGCCCAGAACTCCTTGGGGTGTACAAGAGGGTACAGGGAAATGGAGGAAAAGGAGTCCTCCAACCCCACCCGCGATCTCGGGACAACCCCAAGTGCCCTAACACGGCCTCACTGCGGAGGCCGCACGGAGGACTGTGGAAATCCCCCGCGCACCCTCTCCACGGGAAGTTCTCGGGTGTCACCCCAGCACCCCTAAGGCTGTACCTACGCCAGCCCGGGGCCAGAAAGAAAATGGTTAGGGAGCGGGTGGGGCGCCAAGCTGGGATCCCCACGCCGCGGGGCGCCGACCGACAGGGTTGAGCCCAGGGCATCCCCGCGGAGCGCAGACGGGCGCCGGGAAGGGCGGGGGGGGGGCGGTGACGGGTGTCCCAATCTCCGGGGTTCCGACGGCTCGGGTCAAGTGCAGCGTCCTTCCTCTGCCCACGCCCACCGTCCAGGTCAGCGAGGCATGATCCGCCGTAGGACACCCACTCCCGCACCCGCCTTGGCCCCGACCCCACCCGGGACTCGCGCATCCGGACCCCCGACTCCGGCCTCCACGCCCCAGGGGAACTCGACCAGCTTTGTTAACTCCCCGCTACCTCCGCCGCAGCCGTCGGGCTCTTCAAGGGTCCCGCGCCCCCTGCGTCCCGCCGCCTTAGCCGCGTCCCCTCCCCCCAGCGAGCCGGGGCCGCACCTGTGCCCGCTGCCGCCGCTGCCGCCACCGCCGCCGCTCGCCAGCTCCCTTCAGCTGTGCCGGCGCCGCTCCGAACCCCACACACATCGCTACACACAGCCCTCTGACGTCACCGAGCCCTCGGCCCGCCCACGTCACTGCGGAGACACACGGCTTCCCGCAGACGCCGCCGCCGTCTCCGGCCGCCCGGGGGAGAGCGAGGGAGGCGGGGAGGGGGAAGGGAGGGGAACGGAGCCAGAGGCGGCACCGCGCGCGCCACCGTCGCCGCCGTCTCGCGTCTCCCAGTCCCTCGGGGACGCGCGCGCCGTCGTCCGGCCTATTGTAGCTCCTCGGGGCGCCCCCCCCCCGCGCTGTTATCGCGCGCGCGCGCTGCCCTCTCCCTCCCCCCTAGGCGCGCACCCGGCGCTCCTGGCTCCGCGCGCCGTCTGGGCGGCTGGCGCGCGAAGCTGTCTGCGGTGCGCTCGGCGCAGACAGGATGTTCCCTCCCCGCCCCACCCCCACCGTCGGCCGCCCTCCTTCCTTCCTCGAGTTGCCCAGCCGGCTGTCTGGGGCCGCCACCGCCCCACCCCCGCCCCACTGGCAGCTCTGAGGTGACGGGCCAGACCCGGGGGCGCCCTCGCCGTTCAGCCGCCGCGCGACTGGGAGAGAGGGGGCAGGGCAGCCGCGCGGTGCACTGGGCGCGACCCCACCAGCCGGCTGGGCGGAGGTAGGGCTCGTCCGGCTGAGCGCCGCTGCCCGAGGTCAGGCACGGGCGACCCTCCCCCCGCGGGGCTGCAGCTGGTCTGCCCCGCCCCGGAGGCAGCCGGGTGGCGGCCGCCCTGCGGCGCCCCTTGTGTGGGCCCACTTCCCCGGGGCGCGCCGGGGCTGCTCCCCGCCTCCGCGGGGCCTCCCGCCTCGGGCCGCCCCGCCAGCTGCCTGCGCTTCGCCCCTCCCTGGCGGCCCCCGCCAGGCCCGGGCAGCCTCCGCCCAGACGCCTTCCCCGGGCTGACCTCCATCCGCCATCGGGCCAGGCCTGAGTGCCGGCTCAAGTTCCGGCGAAACCGGGGGAAAACAGTTTTGCTACTACTTCTCAGCCTCCCTCCCCACCAGACTGCTCTCTCAGTTCCAAAATAGAAGTAGAAATTACATGTTTCTACAGTGTACACCGAGGGGTTTTGGGGTTTTGTTTTGGAGGGAAACTCGAGACGTGGAAAGACACGACTTAGGAGCTTCCGGCTGTGCCCCTCACGATGGTATTTCTGGTCGACGTTCCCAGGATTAGCAATTAGCACAGAGAACTCAACGAAGCCGCCCATCGTATTTCGAAAACAAGAAATCCCCTTTTCTCCACCCGCCTCTCCAAGATTAGGAACAGAAATAGTCCACCGAGTTGCAGCTCAGAATTCAGAAGATTCGAGCTTTAACCCTTTTATTCTTTTTGCCCATTTTCAAACAATTTCTGGTTTTACTGTTTCGAGGTGGCTCATATGGGGTTCACATTTGGAGCCTGCCGTAAATGTTTACCCTCTTTTCCCCCCAACCTGCCCACCAAAGGCTCAAAAGCCTCTTATCACCGCCCCTCCCCTAAGTTCCTGTCCTTAGGCCGCCATCGTTGTGCTCCCAGGTCGTGCTCCCTCTCCCACCCCCAACCTTCCCCTCCTTCTAGACTGTCTCCTTTCCTGAACATGAATAATTCCGCAGCACTTCCCATCTGTTATTGCCATAGAGACAGAAGCTCAGCAAAGATAATGATGTTCTGTGCAGAGCCAGTGGGGGGAGAACAGCATCTGCGAGTCTGGGGGTTAGACTTTCTAACCGCGAGAATATCCAGAAGGCTCGGCCAAGATCTGATGTGGAAGACTGGACAGGCCCGAGACTTGACATCCGGCCAGTTCCGGCCACCTGGCTTGTGTCTGGCGAGAAGAAACAATTTTTAGAAAGCGAAATGACACTTTTTGATACCTGTTTTGTCTGTAGAAATAATTGCTTTCTAACAGGTCCAAAGACCTAAGGACCAACATAAATGGAACAGTAAATAGGCTTGCAAAAAAAATCAAACACATTATCCCCTCCCTATTCTTTTCATTTGCTTTCCTCAGGAATCTGTTTTTGGAGAGAAGTATCCTTTGTGCCAGTGATTTTGTATACAGTGGTTTAAGAAATAGTGACAGGCAAATGTGACAAGAACCAATCAAGTTTTAAGGGCTTTCTTTTTCATTTTTCATCAAAGTACAAAATGTAGCAAGTTAAAATTCACTTTGACCTTGAATTCTCAAGATCTTGACCTCAAAGGTACACGTTTGAATGCAAGTGAAGCAGGTTCATTTACCCAGATCTGATGCCGGCAGGGAGGCTCACACTAAGCCACATTTTTGCAGGCCTACTTAAGCATTTTCAGAAATTACCAGTAAAATTAATTGTATAGCATGAATTTTTAAAATGCCAGAACATAATTGAGTGGACAAAGAGAATATAGGCCTTAGAAAAAATAAGCACTGTGATGTAATACATATTGTGATTCCCATATATTGATGGTCTTTTTGGGTGTTGAAAAGTCAACTTACGTATTGGTTAGTAAAGAGCTACCAGATGGGTTTCCCATGGACCCTTACCTCACCCTCTTGACTGCCTGCAGATGCTGTGCAATGCCACTGTGAGAATGTGTGACCGTGTGCATGTAAGAGTTCCAAATGAGTAAGTGGGGGATCCTACTTATTGTCTCACCTTCCATCAAGCAGCGTCTATGAAAGATACAAACTAACTAGTACTAGGTAATCTAAAATTTCTTCAATAGTTATATCCATGTGATAATAATAGAAACCAAGTTTAGAGGTTATAAATTTCAAGACCAGTTCTGCTCTGTGATCTGAGAAATGGTTTGGGGCAAATGCTTTCCTCTTGTCCCTCTTTACTGACCTATTGATAATAACCTACTAATTTTTTATTGAATTTATTGGGATGACATTGGTTAATGAAATTATATAGGTTTCAGTGTATAATCCTATAATACATCATATGTATATTGTATTGTGTGTCCACCACCCCAAGTCACGCCTCCTTCCATCACCATTTATTCCCCCCCCATATGTTCTTCTACCTCTCCTCATTCCCCTTTCCCTCTTGTAACCACCATACTGTAGTCTGTCAGTGTCTATGAGCTTTTTTTGTGGTGTTTCACTTAATCCCTTCACCTTTTTAAGCCAGCCCTGCAACCTCCTTTCCTCTGACAGCTGTCTGTTCTCTACCTATGAATTAGTTTCTATACTCTTTGTTACTTTATTTTGTTCATTAGATTCCACATATGAGGGAAATTTTATGGTACTTGTCTTTGACTGTCTTTTTCACTTATAACCAACTAATATTAATTAAGAAGAATATGAAAACCAAAAGGATAGGGCAAAAGAGCAAACATTCAATGTAAAGTATTTTTATGTTTATGTAGGAGGGGGAAGAAAAGTCAAATAAATGTTAATGGAGCATAAAAACACTCACTTGTATTTTGTCTACAGCTTTGCTCTTTTCCAAGGAAGAGAAATCAGTATGACTTGATGGTTCTAGTACTTCCTTTTCTCCCCTTCTTTGATCCTCAACAAATTTTTTTTAACTTTTTAAACAGATGCTACAAATTCTTTCAGTTTCACGGAAGAATCTCAACTATTTCCTCTTCCATCTCATTTTTTTCTGTAGCTTTTCATTTATTTCTACTTGTCAGAATTATGATAATGATGATGCTCTTTAACTTTCTCACCACACTTTAATCTTCCCTCTTATCCTCTTCCTTGTGCACTTTACTCCCCATATTAGTTTAATAATACCATCCCTGCCAGTGCAAAGTTCCTTTCCCTCATTGACCTGATTTTCTCCTCAGGGCAACTTTCTCCTCTGCCAAGTCAATACTGGGTGTGCAGGATCCCAATTCCCATTTTCACGCTTTAAATAAGATGAGAACCAGATGCTTAAGAACTATTAACCTCTTGTTCCTGAATAGTGTCACACAACTTTTTTTCAGGTTTTAACTTGGGCTCTGTGGAATTGGAAGGGAAGTAAAATGAAGAAAGCAAAAAGGAATAGCCAGGAACAGTAAAACAGAGAAAGCGTCTTTGAATTTTCAATGTTTAAATTGTGATAAAGTTTGAAATCAGTGAAACCAACACATTAAGTGCATTTCATTGCTAATTCTAGGAATTTCATGAGTGTTTAGAAAGTCTGGCAAAGTTTGATTTAATGCAAATTAGAGACCTTTCCCCGGTGGTTCCCTCCACACACACACACACAAAAAGGAGTCATAACTAGCCCTGATGTTCAAGCTATAATTCAAAACCTGCAAATTGAGAGGTGTTATCTAATACGTAGTGCTGGACTATAAGTAGCTCAAAGTGTTTCACAAGATATTAACAAGATATTCCCTTTTTAACAAAAAAGAAGGCCAGGCAGAGTTTAGGTCACATGCCTAACCACTTTCTGATAGAATAGGCATTAGAACCAAATGCGTTTTTGACCCACATCAGTGGAGTTTCTGTTCTCCATTTCCTCATTCCTCTTGGTGGTCATTCAAATAAGATACAAGGAGTGATTCAGATTTTCCAAAACAAAGTAAATATTGAAACTTACAGGGTGGGTAGGTAGCATTATACCAAGAAGCACTGTGGTATACATATTAACCGCAATAATAGTTAACCCCTACTATGTGCGATATTCTCTGATATTTTATTCTGCTGTATTGTTTCTTTGTGTTTCAATTCATTACTAATGTATTGCAACCTACAGTTTAAGAACAATGCATGAAAGAAGAATAATATTAACATTTATATAGTGTTTACGATTGCTAGGCTCTATTCTAGGCACATCACTCATTTAATCCTCACAACCCTCTGAGGTGGTGGCTATCATGACCCCCATTTTATAGATGAAGAAATTGGCACACAGTTGTGCTCAAGATCACAAAGCTAGATAAATCCATCCACTTGGACTGTGAAAAAGATTATACATGCTTTTCAAATCTGAGCTCTATGTAGGCTCAATCTGGATGTTAAAAACAATAAGATTAAAGTTAATATTTTAAAAGACCCCAGATAGCCAAAGAAATTCTGAGAAAGGAGAACAAAGCAGGAAGTATACTATTTCCTTATTTCAAGCTATACTATAAAACTATAGTAATTAAAACAGTATGGTACTGACATAAAAACAAACACATAGACTAATGGAACATAATCAAGAGCCCAGAAATATATAAACATACAATCAACTA